TTTTATGTAATTACTTATATAAATTACTTAATAAAGATATGAGCAAGGCCTCACCTTAATATTTAAAAAAAAAATAAATAAATAAAAACTATATTAGTTTGTTTAAAGTTTTCCTTTATTTGATCTATGATGATCTTGTTTTGCTAATAAATAAGTATTTATACTGTAGGTTTAATCTTTTAAAATAATATTAGACTAATATACAAAGAGATTAATATTTGATAGTTAGTATTATATATATATTGTCTAATATTGTGGGTTGTTAAAAATAATATCTTCTAAGAATAAGAACTAGCCTAGTTTTTTTTTCTTTAAGAAGATATAAAAGTTTGGATAAGATGTGTTATTATTTAAGTAAATATTTATTATCTGCTAAACTAAGCTATTCTAAATATAAAATATATTTGTTTGGAGCTGTTATTTGAATATACTATACTTGAGGCTTTTTGAAAGTATAGATTTTATTAGTATATTGTTATCTTGAATTAATTAAGACCATGCTCTGTCTAGATTTATAGTTAGACTAATACAGACTTGTTATAATAGTTGTATTGTTTTAAATATAATAATGTGTTTGTTGAGTCTATCTATAATAGGCCAGGAGTGTTAAAAAATACTAGTAGTTGACCAAAGATTGTTTTAAAGTTGTTGAAGTCTGATATAGATAGTGATGCTAAGTATAAAGCTATTGTTAATTCTAAGAAGTAAATTGTTAATATAGTGCTAAAGTTATATATCCCAAATATTGTAGATTTTGTAGATTTTGTAGCAAAGCATTGTACTATTAAAGATAGATTAAGATAAATAGGCTTTGTATTTAGTGATTGTAAGATACTTGTCAAAGATATAGATTGAAAAATAATAATATTGTAGATTTTGTACTCTAATATAAGAATTATAATTGTGTTAATAATATAAGTTATTTGTTTGTTAATAATTTTTTTTAAGTTAGCAGTATAGACTAAGTTTAAAATTTTTTCTTTAATAAGTTTAATTTGTTTTAAATACTTGTTGTTAAGTATAAACTAGCATTTTAGAAATTTGAAAGGCTGGCTAGTAAGAATTGAAGTTAGATTTGTTTGTAAAAAGAAGATACTAGTATTGGTTTGATTAGATATAAAGATTGATTAAAATAAATTGATTTAGATATTGCTATATTATAGAATAATAATATAGTTTGTATAATTTTTTTTAAGTTTTCTTTAGTTTGAATAATCCAAACAGTATTGTCTATATATACAAAGACAAATATAGAGCAGTGTAGCCTCTTAGTAGAAAGTAAGATTAAGCTTGTTTGTTATAAAGTATGTATAGTATAATCTGGTATTTGTATAGATATTTTTGTAATTAATAAGTTATAGTAAATTTTTCAGAATAGTAAAATAAGTTTTTTTTTAGTCAATACTATTCTAAACAATATAGAGATTAATAAAATCTAGATTGGTTATAATTCTGTTAAAGCAATCTAAAAAAAGATTAGTAAAAATATTAATAAGAAATTGGGGTATATCTATTTTGTATAATAATTTTCTAAAAAGGCTAAAGATGATAGAGTTATAGGTCTTGCTTATGTCTTGTAATAGTATACATAACTGATTAGAGTTATAGGCTATATATTCTATAATATTGTTACAGATATGAATTAGAATGAAAGTAAAGTTGTTTGGAAGTATAATATAGTTGAAAAAGAATAAAATTAAGTGTTTGGATAAAATATTATTTAACTAATTAGTAAGAAGTTTAGTATATAGCTTTTTGATATATTTAATGAGACTGATAGATCTAGTATTAGCTAAGTTTCTATTAAAAATTGGTTTCTTAAAAATAAAATAGATTTTGCCTTTTTTTTATTGTTTAAAGATTGTTTGAGTAGTGAGGTATCTGTTTAAAAGTACAGTTATTGCTTGTAAGAAGATTGGGTCTGTGTATTTAAATATCTTGTAGCTTATTCTAGAAAGTTTATAGGTTTTATTGTTGGGTAGATAACAGAGTGTAGTAAGTATTTATCTTGAGTTATAGTAGTAAATACTTCTTGATACCAGTTTTGTTAGATATAAGATTTGAAAGTGTATTCTGTTTGCCACTCTGTATTAAATAAAGACTTGTTAATTAAATAAATAATAGTTTAGTTATTGAAATATTGCTAAATATAAAATTTGATAGTAGTAGAATTTGTTATAATATCTTGATTAAGTTTAATATTATCAAACTTGACAGGTCTTTGTACCAATTCAAAATACTATTAAGTATTAAAATTGGGTTAATTTAGAGCTTGGTATATCTTTTAGAGATTGCTTCTGTGATTTGATAATATATTTGCCTTATATTTTATATTAGCTTTGGTTATCTAGTTAGTGTTAGTTGTAAAAAAAAATATTTTTAGATTGTGTAGTTTGTTAAGATCTGCTATTATATTATTTAGATAGACCAAAATCTGTTAGTTGATTTTAGTTTAGTATTTTATTGCTCTAATTATATTTCTAAACTTTTTTAAAGCTATGATAAAACTAGATAGCTTTTGATAAAAATGTATAATAGAAGTTGTAAACTATAAAAAAATATACTAAAATACTACTAAGATAAAACTAGTTTAGATTTTGTACTATGTAGTTTCTAAAAACTCTAAAGTTGTAAATATAAGAAGTGTATTGTGTTGTTGCAAGTTTGTACTAATTTGGTTTACAAAGTTATCTTACTTTTCTAAGTTTATTATTTTGTACTTAAAAATTCTTTTTTAGATACAGGTTTTGTATTTTTGTTGTCCAGTAGTTGTATAAAAGAAAGGATAGTATAAGATCAAAATTTTGTAATTACTTAGAGTACTAGTATTGAAATTATTTGTATTATATTCTAGTATACCTAAATGAAGTTAATTTTACTACTTAGATTGGCTCTATATTATGTGTATATAAATTTGTAAAAGTGTATAGTTAAATCATATATATTATTAAAAGCAAGAAATTGAAGAAGTTTGTATTTAATTGATTAAGAGTAGATATTTTCAGTAGATATATTGAAGTCTTCTAGAGTTATTAGAAGAATATTTAGTATTTTGGCCTGTTGTAGTTATTGAATTATAGTGTTTTGAGTTTGTAGTGTTACAATACTATAGCCTTCTTAGTATAAATATAGCAAAGTAACAAGATTACCTAGTGCAGTAATATACTTTATATATATCATACATACTATATCGTGAGCCCATAATGTTAAGCGAGCCGCATTTAATTGGAGATGATGTTCATCTTCAACATAACATGGCGTAACATGCTGTGAACATTTATATTTATTTCGTAGTTCCATAATAACTTGAGCTTGATTATATTCGTCTTCATTTAAATCTGATTCTTTAGGAGTATAATTTGGTTTTAATTTTTTTTTTTTATTATTTTCGTCATTACTGGCATTCTAAATAAAAGAATATTTATTAATATAATTAAAATGCAGAATAATATTAATGCAGTATATAATAAAATATATATATATATATATTTCAGATTTTCTTTTACAAAATTGTTCTGGATCTTTCAGAACAGTATAGATATACATTCTTTTTGCCAAATTATCAGGTTCTTTACATTCTTCTATAAAATTCAAAAAATCATCTTTCTCATTTATACACATAGCCTGTCCTCGACCATTTATTTTATAGGTTACTTCATAATCATCATAGTCAATATATCGAAGATCTAAACACTTTCGTATATGATTATTTAAACTCGATTGAAACGAGTAGAAATTATTGATTTCTTCCTCTTTAAATATAAACCATTTTCCCATAGAACTAGTTTTTTTTGTATCAATAATAATTTTCACCTTTACCTCGATCAGATTAACCGTTTGATTTGTCTTTGATTGTGTTACTTCTATTTCATTATTATAGTTATGGTCAATTGTATCCTGGTCAATAATATCA